GCAACAAAAAATTGATCGTGTCGCTCTTCTCCTCTTCCTCTACCTTTTCTTTAGTGTTGCATGAACCACAACCTTACAGTATTAGCAAACGTTTTCACTGTTTTATTTACTACATGTTACTCTTAAAGATTGTAACCACGAGGTTATTTTAATAGTTTAATCATAAAACAATCAAAACAAAACAAACTACACACTGAAAAATTATACAACGTAATTAACACCTGATGCACTAATTTTTATTTATTAACTTAATACCCTCACTGCTTCCCGATAAGAGCAGTAGTGTAGAATAATTGGAAAATTCGTTTTTTAACACACGGAAAAGTAGTGAATTCACTTCCAAAACGATATTGTAACAATTTATCTCATCAACTCGTGTAAATTCTCGATTGATCTGTAGTTGTCTAGGGTGGTAACAATCTTAGAAAGAGGGTGTTACATCCTGAGTTGATACAGACAAATCATATTATAAGTAAAAACGTAATTTATCTGTGAAATTCATACAAAATGTGTTGTGTATATACAGTAAGCTTATATGGCAAGTGGAGCTTATATGTCACTTATATGCGTGTATGTGTGTAATAGCTTTAAGGTGAATGTTTCATTATATGCTAACATATAATATGGCTAGCCTTATTGTAATAATTAATGTATGTATTAAAATTTTATATTACATGTACAAATGCATCAATCATACTAAATGTATGAAAAGTTAAACTTGCGCATTGGTTGTCCATTACTCATAATGTTTAGCAGTTTGGAAATTTTAACTTGCATTTTAACTTAAATTACATTGTTTTGTTATACTTAAAATTGATTGTAAATTCCACGAAAGGATTAATTGCTTGATTTTTGAACTTATTTGTCACACTTGAACTTATATTTGGCGATCTTTCATAGCTGATGCAAGCTTTCGTCATCACTGATCCAAAATACTCAATCACACTTGTCAGAGAAATACGATTAGTACTGCGGTAGGTATTGTTACTTACTTATACATAAAATCAGAACATATAACTTCTTTTACTAGCTCTAATGATGTAGAAACCCACCATTATAAAAAAATCGCTCTTTTTATGTTTTTCACCTGTCCTCTCAGGTTGTAGTCTACTCTTGACGCCTGCGACTTGCGACTACCTTACACACGTACGTCATAACGTGTTGGCTACAGCCACTCAGGCCCATTTCGAAAGCATTAATAGAATCGGACTTTACAAAGAAGTAAGATACAATGAAAAACATCTGCCAAAAGTAGATGCAGCAATAGCAGAGAAAGCCAAAACTGCAACATCTTACTGGCCACGATTTCATTCGTGTTGTTTTGTTCATTTTAAGGATTCACACAAAATCTTTAATATACTAAAAAAAACAAATTAAGCTTGCGATCTAAATTCTAAAAGACCCACGAATAACACTAAAATAAACTGGTTACCATGTTACTTTAAACAAGTCTTATCATAACAAAAGAGACCTTCCGTGGGTGTATGGTTTTTGGTTTCTAAGGTGATCAGAGCTCATGCCTGTTGGTGATTGAAAGGAAATAAAATAGTCCCATAGACCAAAATGACGAGGAGAATACCTTGTAAAAAATAAAACGTAGGTTACCAAGTGAAATCTACAATGAGTGACGCTAATAAGAATTTAGTACCCCTGGCAGTGACCTCTCCAAGAAAATCCACCACCAGTTCCGAACTGGTGAAAGCCTGGGTGACTAATGTTGGCCTCATGAATTTTGGGGGGAGGCCACAAAGACATTTAGAACAAAAGCGAGAAGACAATCTTTTATTAGGAACACTCAAATAAGGACTTAACATTTCTGCCCAGCCATGGAAGAGACAAGCTGCTAAGCACGAAAAGCGGAGTGAGTGACGCTAGTGCCGCCAGATTTTTCAGTAACAATTCAAAGATAGATCTGAAATATAATAGCACCTTAAAAATAGAAATGACTATGGAACAGACAAAGCAGAATCTTGTATTTACAGAGCTCGAAATAATTATATAAGATACGATGGAAGCAGGAACAACAACGTTTACAATAATAGCATAGTGACACAAAAAAGTTCTGGGAAAATCAAGAGTTTATGCACAAAATAATAATCAGTGGCAGCGACAGCGGCAAACGAGACACTTTTAGGCAAAAGAAAAAGCAACGAGAATTAATGTTTGGGTAAAACAGCAGATGACCAGATGAAATAGTGGGAAAGCAACATCATTATAACATAAAAACATCATGACAGTGACGGCAATCCTAAAAAAAAACTACGGAAATGGTCCGTGGCCCCAGCATGAAGTATTGATGCAAAAGTGAAAGCAAGGTATTCCAGGAGTTATCCTACCTGTTTAGTGGGTATTAGGTCAATATCGCTAAGAATATCGTAACAAAAAATATGCACTTCTATGCTGACCATGAGTCATACACAGGAAAGGAGTTTGTCCCTTTTTTTATCGTGCATTAAGGCATCCTTGAGGACCTCGAATAAGGAAAAAGAAGAAATGATAATAATGTCTATAATAACAATAATAGAAAAGATAATGATAACCATACTAATAAAAAAGGATGATAACAATAATAACAGTAATACTAACGATGATAATAGAAATAATAATTGTAATGATAACAATGAAATCAATAATAATTATCATCATTATGATACTCATATTATTATTAATAACTATGGAGATAAAAACAGTAATAATAACGTTAATAGTTAAAATAATGAGGATCAAAATAATAAAAATAATAATAATAAAAATAATAATCACAGTTAAAATAATATCAAAAATCAACCTCAACTTCTACAACATAAAAGATAATACAAAAAATGGCGATGCTTGTAAATTGAATTAGGTAAATGGGTTTTAGGCTAAAAAGCATAACATTTCATTGTAAATAGGAGTAATTAATAATTACAACATTTATCTTAGAGCATTCACTCCACTTACACTATACTGACATTAGGTTACTGGTTAAGCTGGACAATAAATTCTGGGTAATGCTACATATATGTATCTTATAAGACTAAATGTCTCATTTATCAAACCGTGGAGGATTCAATAAACCTTGCTTACTATCTCTGTGAAAACTACAAGCTGTTGCTGTGACTGGGGCTCCCGTTCTTATAAGCTGACTGGAAGTCCGTTTATATATCAACCTTTTCTAAAGTGCACACAATTAGATACCATGAAAATAGAATATGTATGCACCTTCTATAAAACACTTATTACAAATCACCATGGCAGTTGCTTGTGAAACGAAGATAGAGTGGCAACTCCGTTTCATCCTGAGAAAATGATAATAACTATTATCAAATTTTTTAATTATTTGTATTATCTTTAGCATCATCATAATTATTATTATCAGACTTATTAATGTCATTATTTTGACAACCATCATTTTTATTGTCAGTATCAGTATCATTATCATCATCATCATCATTATCATCATCATTATCAGCATTATCATCATCATCATTACTATTATCGTCCTCATCACCAATATTACCATTATTATTATCATTAACTGTATGAGTATCGTTATTATTATTATTATCACTATCATTAGTAATATTGTGAATGTAATGGTTATTATAATTATATAATAATAACCGTTATCATCACTAATTTTTATTATTATTATTATAATAGCTATCCTCATTACAATCATTATTATCATTATAATTCTTATTACTTTGATAATAATCATCATTTTTTTAGTATTACTATAATTATTATTTTATTTATCATTACCTTTATCATCATCATTATTCAAATCTTCATTATTGTCATCATCTTCTTAGCAATACGTAGGCTGCTGTGCTTGTTGAGACTTTTTCCAGGTCTTAGTTTGAACAAAAAAGGGTAGCACTATGCCTCATTGGGCAGCATAACAGGCATTATCATTATGCAACTGCTCAGAGCTGAAGGGAAACTACGATACCTGTTAAAGTGCTGCACCTGGAAGGCAAGAGGAGGCAACCTTGTATAAAAGACACTCACATAACGACCTTACATTCTGGATCAGCTATGGATGCAATAAGCAGCTAAGCACTGAAAGTAGAAAACGTGACGTCAGTGCTGTCAGATTTCTTAGTAACAACGTAGAGGTAGACCTAGAATATACCAGTATTTTAAGATAAGAGCTAACTGTTGAGCAGACAAAAAAGGTGTCAGTTTTTACAGACCTTAAAAAAATAATTTAAAATTTAGTGGAAGCAGCAACAATGACGTGCACAAAAAGAACAATGCCAATAAAAAAAGACATAAAAGTGGCATTAAATCTAATGTATAAGCTAAGGGATAGTCGTAAAACAACAAGAAAAAAGATAAAAAAACCTCCTAGAACAAGCTGATGGTTGTTTAAAGGCCCTTGATTGTAGTGTCGCTAAGATCGTAGAAGGGCTAATATTTGTTAAGGAGGATGAGAAAAGAGTAACGCTAAAAATCCAGTATTTAGATCCAATGACTGAGAAGAATGAGATCCAACTAGCGTTAAGTAGGATTCCTGGTTACACACTACAAATGAAGACAGTGGCTACTACTTATATTTTTACGGAAAGAGATATTAATTGTTATAAAAAAAAAGGCAGCCTCACTTTTGTTCTTTATTGTCTTGATTTTTTTTATGTACTAGACCACGTAAAAAGTTTCACAAGAGTTTTAAGAAATATACATTGTACCCTTATAAAAGTGGTGTTTTATACTCTTTTTGTTTCATGGTTTACTCATTGCTATGAGCTTAAGCTTGAGGGTAGAAGCAAGAAAATGTAAAATATCCTATTCAGAATAAAAATTATTCTTAATACTTTTTTACTATTAATAGAGGAGTCTTTGGTATAGTTATTTGTATTAATTTATAGCTACAAAATGTTAAAAAGTATGAGTAACCAATTTTATGAAAAATTTTTTTTCTGTGTTTTCAATTTTTTCTACTCGACATTATCAAAAAAGTTTTTTTTTTCAAGTTTTGTTAAGTAATAATTTTTTATTTTTAATCATACCAGGCACGAAAAGCGGATGACAAGTTCTCACACAAGTTGTTCATCATTTACATCAACAACAAAAGTATCTCCGTATAAAAACACGTCTGATTTAAACGAAATTGCGCCACTCATTTTGGTTAACCAGTATACTCAGCCCCAGCATTTATCTTTTCCATTATCCAACGAGAAGAAAGACAAACATCAAATGACTGAATTATCAGAATCAGTAATAACCAACACAAAGATTCAAGTACAGGACACTACACTAGGTGAGTTATGTAGATGTGATACGTTTATGGATGTTGCATGTATTATATGTATTGCAAATAACTTACAAAAAACATAAAAAACACATATAATGCTTCACAGAATTGAGTCCAAAAAAATTTTGTCAGTATTTTTGTGTATGCTGCTTAAATAGTGGTTTAAAAGCTTAATTTAAATTTTTTGTAAGAATTATGAGTATATGTAAAGTGACTCTTTCATTAACAGTTAGAAAACCAACAGTTTTTTTTTTAATTCTTCCTAATAAAATGTGTTTTCTATTAAGCACACATTGGTGATTAGTATTGGAACAGTTTCTTAGTAATACTTATAAATTAATCGTGCTATTAGGCGAGCTACCATTAGTAATTAAGATCTCAATAGTGTTTTAGTATTATTATCTAAAGAATAAAGATTCAGATAGACAATAATCAGTGGATAAGAACTTAACAATTTTTTAGATTTCTAACTCATAAAGTGTTTTCTTAGGTGAGGAAGCAACATTTCTTAGAAACATTACTATTTTACAAGTTGTTTAATAGTAAGATATGCTTTTAGGCAAGCAAGAATGAGCTCTTACTAACCTAACAATTTTTCAAAGTATTAGTTAATAAGATGTGCTTTCAGGCAAAAAAGCATCATCAATAGAAAGTCCAAATTTTTTTCAGGAAATTTAATTACAAAATGTGCTTGCAGGTGGGCAAGTATCAGCCATAAGGCCCTAACAGTTTTTTGAATATAAGTTATAAATAAAATATGCTCATACCCTATAACGCATCAGTGTTTTAAACTTCATAGTTTTAAAATACGTTTCATTGTAACCGAAGGTGGTGTGAGGTATATGATACAGTAGTCGTTTTAATGGCATAAGCCATAAACATAACAAATGCCTTTTAAAGAAGGTATAATATTTGATGTTACTCATTCAAAAGTTCTTAACAAAATGTAATACTTCAGAAGTAATAAGATCAATAAAGAAATGCTAACTTTTTTGCTATATAACAGAGTTCTTACGTACCTAAAATAATTACATATCAAATGGAATATTTTTATTAAGATGTAAAAGTACACAAAGTATCTTACGTAACGAAATTAAATATTGACAAAATAGTGAGATTACCAAGTCAAGTTTTTAAACGCTATCTTAAATATATATGACAACCATTGCAATAATTAAATAATGTCAATATTTTATTACAAAGAAAAACATGTAAATATTTCACAAAACTTAAAATAACACCTATAATTTCTAATTTTTTCATGGGTACGAAATTTTTAAATAAAAATTAATGACAATGTTGTTAGTTAAGCAGGATTATTTACTATTAAAAAGTGTTATAGTTGTCTGATATTTATTAATTTTTATTATATTTAGTTTTCGACAACTGAGCAAGTTTAAGTTAATTAAAGATGTTATACCTTATTGTAAAGATACACACATAGTTATCAGAGTGTCTATTGCTGCAATCATTGTGGCTCTGTACCAGGAACTTCTGTAGAAGAATTGTTGACTGCTAACGTGCATTTGCTTCTTTTCCAGGAATTAAACAGCATGTATAACAATTTGAATTCTGTACAAGATTGTTTTGATAAGGTCAACATTGGTTTTAGTATGATACATTCAAGCTCTAACAGATTTTACACAGTTTAAAAATTTTTCATGATCCCACCTAAAGTAACTAGTTCTCATTACATCAATTTTTGCAGACTGTTGTTTTATTAAAACGAAATATCTATGTAAGAGGGATGAAGAAATTTCTTTCTTTTATGATGTAGACAATATGAATTATTTCCTAACCACATTTATAATTACACAGAACCTCTTTATTTAACTGTGTGTTCAGTCTAGTGTAAGCTTATGCTAAATAATGTGCCATAAAATTTTTTGCTTCTGGAACTGCCATGCAAAATTGCTAGAATATTAAAAATGACTGTAACTTATTTGAATTTACTTGCTTATCTTTCATACGTTTCGTGACTTGAATTGAAATCATACTCTAGAGACTGCGTTACATTCATACATTTATATATTTATACTTCAAAGGAGATTCGTTCTTCATAATCTGTTCAGAAGTTGTTATCTGCAGAGACTGAATGTACTTTATTCTAATGTAATCTAATATTTCTTCATCTAAATCTTCTCAATCATTCACACAAAAGTTTATATATATATATAGTGTGCTTTGCGGAGCACACTCAGTCCAAGTAAGCGCCACTGCTAAGCTGAATGCTCCACTTAGTCAGCAAATGTATATACCCATCGATTATAAATAACTGCCACTTTTCGTTTGAACATTCAAATCGAGTTAATCTTTTTACAAAATCTGCTGTTAACGTAGTTTGGGCTTAGCTTGCAACGGAAGCGGCTCTCCCACAAATATTTTTGGTAGCAGAGTGCATTGTTCTTTGGAACAAGGAAAATTGACGCTGTTTTGGAATTGGAGGCGCAAAAATTCCTGTTTTTCCAATGTCAGGGATATGCGTGTGAAAGTCGATAATGTTCAAGACTCTTGAGTTTGTGAAGTGTTCTTTAGCTGGCAGTACAAACAGTTTATCCATTCTTAGTATTAGCCAAAGCAGGTGGGTTTGTCACGTTAGTGTCTCACTCACACCACTGCACAGAGCTCAGGCATGACGTTTGCCAGCAAGAGTTGTTAGGTAGTTTCTCGAGCGTACGAGAATCTACTTAAGCTTGGACAGAACAACATTACACGATAGTCTATAGATAATTGCCTTGACCAGTTACGCACTAACTGGTATAAATTCCGGTAGAATCACTTCCACATTATGGCACTTTGCATGGTAAATACAGGGGAGCTTGAGTACTTCCGATCAGATTGCTATAGATTGCAGAACAAGGTTACTGGAAATAATGTTAAAAAATTGCAATAGCTAAAAGCTCACGTACAGAGTGAGGCTGCCAAAATGCTGCGAACCGTGCAAGTAATCGATGCCAATTTCAAGGTCACATGGAGACTACTTGAGGATCATTACACCAATACGAGACGTCTGGTTGAAGCAATAACTTGTGATCTTTTCTCAGTGCTAGCTGTAACTTTCAAGTCAGCACACGAGCTTAAGGCGTTGATCAGTGGCACTGTGAATTTCTGAGCCACGCTCAAGTGACGCAATCAACTTACAGCTCAATGGGACGATCTGGTGGTCACTGTCACTATCCAGAAGCTTGATGCTCGAGCTTTCAGAGGGTGGGAATTTTTGCTTTGCAGCACCACCAATCCACCAACACTTTCTACGCTTAAGCTATTCATTAAGCAACGAATCTCGATGCTCGAGATTGCCACAACTTGGACAGTTGAGCATAACTGCACATTCTTTCCGAAACCTTTCCGAACATTTGCATAAAAATTCATATACATATGTATATACATACACACCGTGCTCTGCGTAGTACAGTCAGTCCAAGCAAGTAGCGCTACTGAGATGAACTCTTTACTCAGTCAGCAAATAAGCATACCATTTGATTGAAAAGCTTTTAAAAAAAACATTCAATTCTCGTTTTATCTTTTTGCAAAATTTGCTTTAGACGTCATTTGGGATTAGCTCGCTAGAGAAGCGGCCCTTTCTCGAACACTACGCTTGAAACAAATATTTTAATGAAATAGCTGAATAAAAGTTTTATTAATACAAAGATAAGAATGCTAAATATATAAATATAAGACTTTTAAAGAGTTTTACGAGTAATAAAGAGGATAATTAAAAGATGTAGAAAAAAGATTAAACCTGTTTTTTCTTACGAATCATAAAATATGCTCATACCCNGGTACCGTCCTATATATATATACAGATCTAACGGTTATAAACATCATACACTTCACATTAAACTAGATAACAAATTTATGGGAATCATGCATATTAACGGAGTACTTAATGTACGGCAATTATGGTACTTAGATATAAATAATGGCAACTTGATTTAATATAAAGAGAAATAACACTCTGATTATTATAATTTTCCTATAAACTTTAATTAAAGTTAGTAGATACTTGTTCTAAAGTCATTAAAAGTCACTTTCCTTCTTAGGAATTTGAACAGATCCAATATCTATAAAAATGTACAGTCTTTCTTCCCTTCATAAAAAAATTGACAATTAATAATAGCAACCCTTTATATTAAGAAACTTATATGAATGACTCTCTACAGTTTACCAAAAGATTCATATAACAACATGAGAGTCTTTTGTTTACAAAACCTGACAAGGGTTATAAGACTGTCATCACAACAAAGTCAGCATACATAAAAAAAACCAGTTGTGGGTCTCAGAGCTCCTAGCAAAAGTAAAACTTTTAACTCGTATTCTATTAAACTCTCTGTACCTAAAACTAAGAAAATTAAAGTACACCTACATATTTTTGATCTTAAAGAAACTAATATGTATATGGAAAAAAATTTTTTTTTTTGTACATATTAAAGCCTGCTTACGCATAGAATACATATACTTTATAATTTAATTCTAAATTTATCTGTGCCTTACTAGTTTCTACTTATATTGAAACTAACAATTATAATATAGATTCCAGTTTAATGACAATGAGTCTTACAACACATGATAGAGAATAGAAAATAATTAACTTAGAGGTAGGATATGTAGAATGTAGCTTAGCCTTTGGGATATGACTTTTCTTACTTTTTAAATTATTACAATTGCTCGTATGAATTCGTGTTATATGTATTATTGCACCTCAATACTTATTACTTATTCGTGGGAATATTTTTGGTCTTTCTGGTTTTCCTTGAGAGATACGAGTGTTTTTCTAATTTTGAAGGGTTATGTGGTAACAGAATTTTTTTAAAGACTCTGTGAACGTTTGTACTAATTATTAAAATATGCCATACCCATACTAAATAAAAATTTTTTTTTTTCGTTCTTTTTCGAGATTCAGTCAAAAAACAAAAATAGTAAGGTTATGTTTGTGCATAGTCCAACCCCTCTCTATTTTTACTCGTTAATCATGTAGTTTTGCTTTGGAGAACCCGTTAAATAGT